AAAGGAAGCGCACTGGAGTCGGATATGTGGCGCCATGCATCGTCGGGAATATCTCGCGTCTGAATCATCATCCTCGAACCCCGTCCCAGAGACCACTTCGTCACCTTTCTTCTCATTATCTCGCTTCCATTGATTTCGTTCTTTCTCCTCGTTCGAGCGGAAATTTCGGAAAATGAGATCGGAAAGAGGGGAGGGATGGAGGAGAGGGAGGGGATGGAAATCGGCGAACGCAGCCTAAATAGGAAGTGCGTCCTATGCGATGACGTTGATGATGATGATGATGGTGGTGGTGGTGTGTCATCGGTGGTGGTCGGTTGTCCATGGTCGCGCCGATTTCAGCAGCTGGCAGAATTTGAGCGGGCATACTCATCGTCCCACCTAAAATTACGCAACCGTATTTAGCGGGGTGATTCAACCAGAAGTAGGGCCTGAGCCAGAGCAAAGGCGAGCTCTCGCTGGGGAGCTACCCACTACCTATATACGTGGGCCGCCTCGAGCGCGTTGCACGGGATGCACCGTGGTATACTAACGCGATGGAAGCCTCGAGAATACGTACACAGCCTCGTGGCAAGCGTGCACGCACTCTCTCGCGGTCCCGTGTAGTGATTCATGCCGTGGAACGCGAGAAACACGACTTAACCGCGCTGTCCGTTAAAGAACCGTTCTATTTCTATTTCGGGCGTACCGTGATGTCCATTCGGTCTGTTTGTGACCGCTAATAGAAGGAGAGTCGCGCGGCCCAGGCCCGTATTCCTCCACCGTGATGTTGTTCTCAAACTCTCTTCGAATTTCCCCTGACTCGTCCGTCGCACGCGACCACCAACCGACTCGTTTTACGACGCTATTATTTTTATTTTTTGCAAATTATATCTCTTCGAGGATGACGCGATTCGTTTTTTTTTTTTTTTTACGCTTCATACATGTATATGTATATGTATGTGTATATATATGTATGTATGTATGTATGTATGTATGTATGTATGCAGATCTTGAGATACGTCAATCTCTCGTTGCATATCTCGTTTCCACCGACGCTTTCACTGTACGTAAGTGAAAATAGAAAATCGTAGGTTTGAGGACGCGAATTTAGATTCCAAAGTTATTGGTCAGCAAGGAGGAACGGTTGGAATAATTCCTCTCGCTTATTTTTACATTCCTTCGAAACCGAGATTCAAGGTTCGCGAGATTTTTCCTCGACGTGACTTTACGAACGATGATACTAAAAAGAAAAAAAAAGTATGTTTGTTCATGGATTAACGGTTGCATTCTTGCGCGGTACGTATCGCGTGTTGCCGAACGGAAAAACGCTACAAGAACACGATCATAACATCTGATTAAATTCTAATGACGGGATATCTCTTAACTTTCATAAGGAAATCTCGTGTATGCACGTGGAAAGTGGAATTATATTCGTCACGGTAACACGGCGATATTGCTTCCGACAACTCCTATTGACCACAAGAATCGTGGTTTTCCGTAATAAAAAAATCGTGATCCCCGATGCAAGAAGCCGGCGACCCGAAACCCCACCCGAATCGTTGAACATTCGGCACCAGTGCTGGTTTATTTTAGCCAACTATTTGGCAGGCCACGTACTTGCCAAGTATTTTCCAAGTTCTATTAACCTCGCGTTTCGCGTCGAGGTAGCCTCTATTACATAAATGTCACCCTCTTCCTACACGACCGGTTCGTAGCATCGATCCTTTTCAGGCAGTGGAGACAAGGCAGTTCGATCGAGGCACAATTTTATGAATGGCGGTGGAGTAGGAAAAAAATTCTCAGAAGTTGAAACACCGAAACGATAAAACGACGGCCAACTTCCGGTTTCCTGGGTGGTTTTCTCTATGCCATATTGGTAACACCGATCACGCGCCGTAGTTTCCGGTGATTGCCAACAACTTTAAAGCCTACGCAGCTTTTAGGACGTCGAAGATACGTATAAATCAAACGCGAGATCTCGATTGAATACCACCAGTGGTGGCTCGTACATAGATCCTGCACCAGCCCCGAAGAAAGAAATGAAAAATGTAGTATATAACGTTTAAAAAACAATAAGATAAAAAAACTACGGATTTTTATGCAAATACGATTCATATTATATCGTTACGATTATATATGTACGAATTATTATACGAATATATCCACAATGCGAAGAAAGAAATGAAAAATGAAATATATAACGTTTAAAAAAACAATAAAATAAAAAAACTACGGATTTTTATGCAAATACGATTCATATTATATTGTTATGATTATATATTAGGAAATATTATACGAATATATTCACAATATGAAGAAAGAAATGTAAAATGAAATATATAAAGATTAAAAATTAAAAAATAATAAAATAAAAAAACCATGGATTTTTATACAAATATAGTTCATATTATATTGTTACGATTCTATATATACGAAATATTATACGAATATATTCAGATTATAAAATATCAATATGAATCGCGACATAAGAAATAATAATATCGATTGTCATTCATAATCAAAATATCGATTTAATGTAGTCGTTTTCCGAACACGGAACGAAACGGACGTGTTGCTCGCTGTTCCTCGTAAGAATATTATATTATTTAATAAATTAATTAGTTTTACGTAAAATAATTATAAATTAATTAATTATTGTGATTATTGCGTAAGTAAAAACACGTTATCAAAGAATTAGTGCAAGCCGGATACAATATATTTTATATATTTTTTCATAAACAATATATAATTTCATAAACAAACATAAATATGTTATATATTTTTTTATTTGATATTAATTTCATTTGTATAATAATTATAAATATTATAAATAAATGTAATTATATTCCGAATAAAACTTTTGATCGCGAAAAAATTTTAAATATTAAATTGTATAAGAAAACTTTTATAATACTATAATTTTATATAGGTATCGTATATAGGTATATATTTCATTTTTCATTTCTTTCTTCACATTGTGGATATATTCGTATAATAATTACATATAAAATTATTGACACTTTGCAAATATTATATAGTTTGACATATATTTTGAATATTATAACATATTTTTTTCAATATCAATTAAGTAATAATCCGATTATGTTTTAACTGTATAAAAATCCGCATTAATAAATATCATATATGTAAAATATAACGTAGGTTAGAAAACATATATTTAGGTTAGAAACGATGTACACTAACATAATGATGTACTATTTAACATAATGTCGTTGTTATTCACTAAATCTATTAATATTCGTTTGCATTCATTATTGCACTTTTATCACGTGAAACAAGTAAAAACACTGATATTGCTTTCTGAGCAATAACATTTAATTTCATCTATCGTATCTATAGCTGTAATAAAATATAATATTCCAGCAAAACAAAATTAATATACAATTATATATATATACCAAATATTATATCCACAAAACAAATGAAAAAACAAATGAAAAATGAAATTCAAATATATAACGTTTAAAAATTAAAAAATAATAAAATAAAAAAACTACGGATTTTTATGGAAATACGATTCATTATATTGTTGCGATTATATATATACATCTATATATATATATATATATATATATATATATATATACACAAAATATTATTCGAATATATTCATAATATAAAGAAAGAAATGAAAAATGAAATATATAACGTTTTAAAAATTAAAAAATAATAAAAAAACTACGGATTTTTATGCAAATACGATTCATGTTATATTATTACGATCATATATATACGAAATATTATACGAATATCGTATCTACAATATGAAATGTCAATATAAATCGCGACATAAGAAATAATAATATCGGTTGTCATTCATAATCAAAATATTGATTTAACGTAGTCGATTTCAGAACACGGAACGAAACAGACGTGTTGCTCGCTGTTCCTCGTAAGAATATTATATTATTTAATAAATTAATTAGTTTTACGTAAAATAATTATAAATTAATTAATTATTGTGACTATTGCGTAAATAAAAACACGTTATCAAAGAACTAGTGCAAGCCGGATACAATAATATGTTTTATATATTTTTTCATAAATAATATACATAAATGTTATATATTTTTTATTTGATATTAATTTCATTTGTATAATAATTATAAATATTATAAATAAATGTAATTATATTCCGAATAAAACTTTTGATCGCGAAAAAATTTTGAATATTAAATTATATAAGAATATTTAATATAATATTGAATCAATATGTTACGTGAACGTTTTATAGAACATTTTTTTTGGATAAATAATAACAATTTATCTAAAAACACGAAAAAACTTTTATAATATTACAATTATATATAGGTATCGTAATAAAATTATTGATACTTTGCAAATATTATATAATTTCATATATATTTTGAATATTATAACATATTTTTTTCATATTAAGTAATAATCCGATTATGTTTTAACTGCATAAAAATCCGTAGTCTATTAATAAATATCATATATGTAAAATACAACGTAATATACTTAAGATTATAGATTGATGAATTATATTTAGATATTTTGTTGAAATATTTAAACACTTTAGATTAGAAACACGATGTACACTATTATTTAACATAATGTCGTTGTTATTCACTAGATCCGTCAATATTCATTTGCATTCATTATTACATCTTTATTCGCGTGAAATAAGTAAAGATATTGATACTGCTTTCTGAGCAATGACATTTAATTTCATCTATCGTATCTATATATATATATATATGTATATATACTATAATAAAACGTAATACTTCAACGAAACACTTTTAACGGTTATAATTTGATCTCACGAATCGTGACAAAACAATATTTCCGAATTCCAACGAATATTTCCGAACTGTGACGAAACGACATTTCCGAATATTACCGAGTATTTCCGAATTGCGACGAAACGACACTTCCGAATATTAACGAATATTTCCGAACACCAACGAATATTTCGTTGATCGAATGTCAAACGGGTAAAACTTCTCGACGAATAAAGGTGTTACGTTCGCTTACATATCGTTCACATTTTTCTCGATAAAAAACGATATTTTGCATGCTCGCCGCATGATTCATCGGCTGATAAATATTTATTTCATGCGAATCGCTTAACCGCAGTGATTCAAGAGAGCCAAGCCTACAACGTGTTTCCACGCGTACCGTGTGCGGAGTAATTACGAAGATCGGTCACGGATGCACCGTAACGAATCCGTTAGATTTTTTTGAAATGCGACTCGACGCGTTCCGACTAAATTTCTTCGGGTTTCTCTGTTTTAAATAAGAAAAAATTGTAAAGGAAAGTTGATCGGTTTCGGTCTGAAAAAGATAACTCGAGTAAAAAAAAAATCAGTGATGGAATTTCTATGGCACGAGACGATGCGAAGACTGTTGCGGTTGAACGTGTACCGACCAATGCTCCGCGAACTCGTATAATCGAAGCAATCCTTTAACGCACCTGGTGCAGGTGCAATGCATGGCTGTGCAACTATGCACCCGTGTGCCTGATTGGCTTCCTTGAAATTCGAACGAAAATCGGGCAGGACGCGCATCTGTTTCGTTCCATTCGAAAAGAACAAGTTTCTTTTAAATACCGTGTTTTTGGAATACGATGTTTGTTCTCAGTAAATCTCTTTCATTACGTCCGATTATAACAATTATAAGAATAAGTAGAAATTACACTCTCATGCATGAGTGTTAATCTGACAACTGTTAATTTTAAACGTAAGTTTTTTAATTTATAAATGATTAGCATTAATTTAGCATATCTTGAATTATATGGATAAGTAATAATTTATAAAAAGTTAAGTGATTTATTAATATATACATTAGGTGTATAAATTAATTTGTGATTAATTAATTATAATTCCATTTTAAATTCAATTTTTATACTGTATGATTTTGAAATCTAAAGCAGAATTCGAAACAAAACAAAAAACGATATCTAAGTTGATATTATTAATGACATAACCTCAAAAAACAATATTAATATAATATTGTCCGATAAATGGTATGTCAAATATTGCGAGTGATATTATTGCATGATAACACATATTGTAAGAATAATAAAGATCATATCGCTTATTTGCTATAATATTGATATAACTTAAAAATTTCAAGTTTTAATTTTTTTTTTTTTTTTTTTAATTTTTATTCATTTTAGTTCATATAAATATTAGTTCATATAGTTCATATAAAAATTAGTTCATATAAAAATGACAGATGAAGAATTTTTTTATATATTTGTTGATAGAATTTTTTAAATGAGCTTTCAAATTTGCTTTAAACAATTGAGCCACCAATTTGAAATTTTAATGTGATATTCTTGTGCATTCTTATAAGGAATTAGAAACATTCAGACTCATTTTCTCTAAAATCGCGATTTTCACGATTATTATTATTATTATAGCAAATAAACGATTCGTTTCCGTGAATTGGAAAATTCTCCATAACCTATTCGTCAGATTTAAATTACACATCGTTAGATTAAATCTGTTCTGTTTACTTCAATATTACCATAGCCAAATTCGAAATTTAAAACATTCGAATTTTTTTTTTTCGACAGAGAATAACATAACCCAAAAATAATAGTTTATAACGTATACGAATAGAGATTATTTTCAAAATTAAATCGTATATTGTTTCCTATAAACAAACATCGAATTTTAAAATTATTATAAAAAAGGAAAAATAAATTATAAAAAAGGATCACAAATTAATTTATATATCTCTCATCTAGGGGACGAAATTTATTCTTTTTCATTATTTTCCAAGGATTTATTTTGCTTGCACGCAATTTACGCTTCAGTTTCTTCCTTCATTGTGCGCAAATTTATACATATAATTACTTGCATAACGATCGGTGTTAACGATAAGGAGGGCCTTTGATTACGCGTCTACCGACAAATTTAAATCGGCGCAAAAGCCTGCAAAGCAAAACGATTGTTTTTTTTTTTTTTTTTTTTTTTTTTTTTTTTTTTTTTTTTTTTTTTTTTTTTTTTATAGCAATATAACCGAGACTGTTACGATCATTCCTAAAAGGAAATCTCCGTCCCTTTCTTGCATCGTGGCGAGTTTCCACCGATTTACCCTCGCTTAATACGTTGGTTCCGTATTTTCCAACCGATTACCCGGATAATTACAGAGCGCTTCCACGCTTTTCTCAGCGAGTCGTATAATATTCGAAACGGTTACCACTGTCGTTGTCGCGATTCCACTGTCGTACCAACTATGAGAAAGAACTTGTGACCACAATTCGCGAGAATTATAGTGATTGCAAAGTTAAGAGACACCGCGATTACCGCGTGCTTCGAATTACTGAGGAGAATGGGAAAGGGGGAATGTTCGTCCTTTTAAAAATGCGAATCTACGAAATTATTCCCATATTGGTTTTAATCGAAAGAATGCAATAGAATTTCGAGTATCAGAGAATCCTTATTAATGGAACGATCGATTATAAAGAAACATTGTTTAATTGGAAGATAAACGAGGGGGATTATGTTTTTTATTTTGATTTATATATATGCTCTTTTTTTTTTCCTCCTTTTTTTTATCGTTAGTTATCGCTTAAGAGACGATATTTTTGAATTGTTGTTAAAGGCTTAGGAATTAAGTATAAGTCGTATAAAAAAATCTCTTTATTAATTCATAAACTTTCAGTTGATAAATCAATCGAATAATTTAGCACTGTTACTTGATTGATTTGTTACTTGAAAGTTTGAACAATCTTATGGATATGAAATTATAAATAGATTATAATATTGAAACTGTAACTAAATTAATTTACAACTATCTTTGATATAAGTTAAAAAAGACTGGAATTAATCAATATCGATATCTATAATATTTTTCTCAATATTCTCAATGATATTTCACGATAAGAAAACAGAATTAATTCGAATATACGGATGTTTTGAATAATCGAGATAAACTACTGTATTTCCTTTCCTTTCAAAATTCTAGTACGGAGATCTTGCTCAAAATTAGATAAAATTTCTCGATAAGTTATTTCAATAATTTATTATTCAAAGCATCGAATAAATTGGTATATCGTTATATGAAGAGTTATAAACGTTACTCGAAGCATTTTAAACAAAATGATCAGATAATTAAAGATAATTTTATTCGAAATTCAGCAGGTCAGTGGCCAACTCTGATCCCATGCTGACCAACGAAATGGTGGCGGCGATCGCACGGTGCCCTCGCGCGAGAGATAACTTCCCCCCTTGGACGAACTATTAATAAGAGAGGCCGTTCAATTGGGTTTTAACAGCCGAAGCAATTTTGTACGATCTAATAGAGGATCGTTAAAGGTCTGCGTAGACACCTACTTAACCGGCCGTTTACCGATGCCGGTGCACGCGAAGGAATTTATTGTCCCTTGCTCGCAATACCAACTTATTATACAGCGGTCCAATTTGCGATAAAATATTTACCGTGCCGGCTGATAAATGCCGGCAACCATGGTAACGTAAGCGATGCGATAATGATATTTTAAATGTGGATAGTACGCGCTTCGATTAAACGATTTTTACAAAAATTAGCATCTTTTGATACACGTATAAAACTCGCTATTTGATCGTTTCCCTGGATCGTTTCCCTAAATTCGAGCATCGATATAAGTATCTCGAAAAGAAAAAAAAAAAAAAAGAAAGAAAGAAACTTCTGAATAAAGACAGAAATAAAAAAAATTGAATTCTCGTGTACGAATCTAATGGTACATTGTAGAAAAATAATTATACAATGTCTGATAAAAATGACATTATTCTTTTTTTCTTAGAAATATCTATCTATATATTCTCATTTCGTTTTTTTTTTTTAAACGAAATTATATACAAGTGATAATCAAATATCATTCTTCAAAAATTGAAATAAATAATATAATTATGAAATATTTCTAATAAATTTTTGGACTTTTTGTTTCAGGTTTTACACAACAAGGGATTATCGTCGAATCCATAACTACTCGTTCTCCCCGCGACGATTCGAGGATAATGGTTATTGCGCAACGGTGAGGAAGAAAAAGAGGAGGATATTTTCACGACGGTGGAAAGGAGCCGATCTCGAGGGAGGTTGATGCGTCTGCCCCGCTGGGATAATTAATATAAGCCTCTTCCTCCCCGAGGTATCGCTTATTTATCGCGAGGTTTGAAGCCAGAGCTAGCGTGTAATACCAGGCAGTGAAATATAGTGGCCATAATGTCGAGTATTTTATACCCGCGACCGAGTCTGGCCAACTTGTAACCTTTGAACACGGCGATCCCAAGGCGATCGCTTGCAATGATGCTTATTAAATCGAATATCCTAGCAAAGGATAACCGTTTTCGTTGTAGCAAAAACCGCGTTTTACCACACGAGATTAAAACGAATTTCGTATCCTTATGGGCTTATGCCCCCCTCCCCCACACTGTGTAACTCACTCTTTCGAAATCGTTTTTTTCGTGGCGATCTTAATTCTTCCCGCGAGATTTTATCCCTGCATTCTCGAGATTCGACACATCGCGCGTCCAACACGTTAATTTTTTTATCGATACGCGTCCAAAATTATTGTATTATCGAAGGATTAAAGGGATTTAAAGGAGAAAAAAGTATTCGATTCGAAATATTTGAAAGATCGATCGATCATTGAGACAATTAGAGAGGAAAAAGAGAGGAAAGCGAGATAAGTGTCCGCCCTTCCCCCGGAACGCGAGAACTGGTGCCGCTTGTCCTCCACCGATGGACCGATGGAAATTTCACTGGAGGATACTCGCGGAGATACTCGATATACTCGTCGTGTCGAGGTGATCCTTCCGTACACAGACAGCCGGGGAGATCGAAGAAACTCAACGTCAACGACCGTTTCTCCTCCTCGCCGAAGCCACGCACGATCTTGATCGAGCTCGAGAGACGTCGAGCTTAGAAGTGGCTTCTGATCGGCTTCGATCGCGTGTCGATAATGAATGCGGGATACCGTTATACATATATACTCGACGTTTTTCAACGTCCCACGGTCGTTTAACAAAGAAAAAAAAAAAAAAAAAAAAAAAAAAAATTTTTCCATTCCCATCGAATAGTCCATTGTACTAGAGAGAGAATCTCGAAGAGAAATTCTTATCGAAATTCCACGATATTTTACGATCTTGATTTTTTTTTTTTTTTTTTCCCCCTCATATTTCATCCTTTGCTCTCCCTTGGCGTTACGGAACGGTACGACGAGCAATACGGAGTTTTATCGCGTAACGTTCGCCACGGATAAAACCGTTGCTCGGTTTGCTCGGATCTCCTCACCTTCCGGTTGGTCGTGATTCAACCACGAGGGAAAAGATGGCGGTGGAACGGTGGAGGGGAGGGTATATACAGGGAAGGCGATCGACCTACGCAATTTCATCCTCGGAGGAGAAGTGCATCCTTTGTCGTAAAAGAGACGAGATAGTGGGCAGGCCGAGATAACGGCCGCGATAACTAGATAAGAGGCCGGCCAAGTATGTAAATGTTGGCCCCAATAACGGTACGGATTTCCCACACGATTCTGGCATTCCATTGGATCGGGCAACGCTTGCTTCCTGCTTCTCGCCGCCTGTGAATCGTAACCGCGGCTGCATATGGAAATCGATGAGGATCGTACGTACTCGGGATTCATTCGGCGAGGGAATGGTTGAAATCCCGTGGAATCCCATGAGTCTCTCGAGGCGTTATCCTTTAATTAAGGCGAAGCGAATAGAATCGCATTTTGGAGTGGATGAATTCTCAGTTATTTTTCGGTAATGGATAGAAAGATATTTTTTGAGAATAGAATTCGACTATTTCAAGAGGGATATTAGAATTATTCTTCTAGAGATATAGATACTGCGTTGATAAATAACTGGTACGGGGAAAATATTCAAAAAGAGTTCTACTTTTGAATTATATTCTGGTAACAGTGGTGGTAGCTTGGCCGCGATAAATAGTTAAATAGTGTAGGTACGTAAAACACGATATATCCGGAAGTGCCGGGTCTTCCTCCTTACCACCTGTAGCGACAGAAATATCTATTCCACTCGATCGGTTAAAATTATATCGTCGTATGATTTTCACTTTCTATTTTGCCTCGCGTATATTATTATTATACGCAACAACTTTTTCAAGTCTTGATTTTATTAAAAAAAAAAAAAAAAAGAAAAGAAAAGAAAAATATACATAAAAAGAAAACAAGTAAAACGATATTTGCAAGAAATTCCGATCTCGAGTCAATAAAAATTCATTACTATCTTATCAAAGAATGCTCGATTCGAGTGGTATACCTGGCTGGTTGATAAGTGCTCTTTCGATCCTATTCACTCGTTTCTCAAATGGAAAATTATACGCGTAACAAATTAGCAACACATTCTAAATATATATATATATATATATATATATATATATATAGGCAATATAATTTATCTTCTCGCTCATAATCATATATTTTTCTCAACGATTATCGTTGCACGAGTGTTTCTTCGTGGATAAATTATCAATTTAAAAAACAAGAGAGAGAGAGAGAGAGAGAAAAAGAGAGGATAAAATGATAATTAAAGTTATTAAGCATGGATTATTAAGCAAGTTTTTCTCTACGCGTCGCGGAGAAAAAGCTAATGAGATCGATATGAAATGATAATTTAGACGAGAGAGTTATTGAAACAAGATATACGCGTAGCGCGTCTGTCATCGTATCGAGATCGTATATGGATTTTCGAATCGAAGAAACGTGCGTATATGTGAAATATTTCTTCGTTAGAAACAGCTACAATAATATTTAAGAGTTATGCGTTACAGCGGTATAATATAAACGCAGAAGAATGCAGAGGCGGCTCGTTACTCTCTCGGTAATGGCAATTTTATTTTCGTTCGCGTTAAGTCGGGACACGTCATTTGCTTTGACTGACACCTAATCGCGGCCAAAAGTTCATTACCATATTCATAGAATTTCATTATTATTATTCGTGTGCGTCGTTCTCTTCTGGTTTCTCGTTACCTTCTTTCGTTCAATTCGTTTCCACGAATAATCGTATTGTTGGAAACGCGCGAAAGTATATAAACATTCTTTTTTTTTTATCGATACAAATTTTGAATATGCAATTTTTTTTTTTTTCCTTTTTTATTTATTCATTTATTTTACTCTCAATCGAACTGTTGTCATAATATATTTGTAGCGCGACGAGTTTAAGTATTCTTTGAAACAATGACGAAACGATTCTTTTTTCTTTTTTTTTCCTTTTTTTTTTTTTTTTTTTTTTTTACAGAAATATCACCTTGGACGAAATGAAATCATAAAACAGTAAAGTTTTAACGCGTTTTTTTAAATACTACAACTTTGTAATAGTGCGCAATTTTAAATTACAAGATACACGGAATTTAGTCGCTTCTTTGGTTGTAAAAAAAAAAAAAAAAAAAAAAAATTCTTAGGAAGAATCTTCAAAATATGGAAACTTCGAAGAGATTCGTTTCGTTCTTCGTTTCGAAGAGATTTTTCATTCCATCGAAATCACAATTTCGTGTTCGACGAATATTTCATATTTTCAATTTTCTAAATATATATCACGCTGAAAATACCGTGCATTTTGCATTATTCCCCGATCCGCGGGAATAATTAATAGAATGATCGGTGAAGAGAGGAGAGAGGGGAAAAATTTGAAGCAAAGGTATAGACGGTCGGCGAATATGCGCAGGCATCGTCGGTATTTCGACGCGACTCTACGGTGTCCGGTCGTAAACGAAAGTGAAAATAAATTGGTCGGACGGTTCCACCGCAAAATGCAATTTACTCCATTCATGGAGCCGGGTCCCTCGCGCGCGTGTGTATACATACGTATGTGTATATATATATATATATATATATATGCATGCATGTATGCATGTGCGCGTGCGCGCATCGAAACGGGAGATCTCGGGGCCTCGACCACGGCAGACACCTAAATTATGTTTCACGGCCGATTCTCAATTCACTTTCTTTCTCGCCTCTTACTCGCGTCTCTTTCCTCGAAACGGTTCGAGGAATGCACGCGCCTCCGGTGCACCGATCCGACATCGGTATCATTTTTTTTTCCCCCCTCTCTCTCCCCATTCCCTCGATCCACCTTTGTCATTTCTGTCAACTGACGTTCAACTGAGCAAAAACAAAAAAAAAAGCTAAAGAAAAAAAAAAAAGTCTCCCTCCCTTTTATCCCGGCGTGACGTGACGTGTTGCGTGTCGACTCGTCTTCGTCGATTTCGTTGTCTTCGTCGTCCTTACGCGTGAGCGGAGCCTCTGACTCTGAGTTTTAAACTTTTTTACCCTTGGATCGCGAATAAATTAGCCGCGTGGCATCTATGGTATTATTATGTTATTACCGCGGCTACTCGCCGCGATGTTCTTCTCTCCTCTCCGTCTGTCTATCTCTCTGTCTCTTTCTCTCTCTGTCGTCTATTAATTTATCGTATTCTTTTACGGCGCGTAACGCTCAAGGGTCGGCCACTATAAACGGATGCTTAATAGCATCCTCGGATATACCTAGCGGATAATGATTACGAGTCAAACATTTCTACGTTTACTTTGGGACCCCGGCCTCCCATTACACCCATGAATATTACTCTTCATAAAGTCGGGTGTCACGCGCCGTACGAACCGTATTTACGATCCCCTCCTGCCCCTCCACTCGCTTGCGCACACGACGAGTGATACGCCGGTCGAAGTTACTTATTAAGTCCTCTTCTATTAACTTCCTTTTCCTTAATGTTGGCTCCACTGATTCGAGTCAGTGACAACGGTCGCTCGAAGCTCCTTGCTTTCGGACACGAAAAACGGATCGGATTTCGAAGTCTTTGGACAACAGATTGTGCACGGAATAGTTTCTCGCTCGGAATCGTCCAGTTGCGCGTGTGGACGAGGCATAAGCTTCTCGAAAGTGAGAATCGTTCGGGAATCGCCGTCTTCCTCGTTTCCATCTTCCTCTTCCTTCGACGACGAGTCTTCCCCCTCCTCCTTCTTGAATATTAAAAGTATGGAACGGATCGAAAGGCACGTGTGTCGCGTGGGAGATACACGTGGTATGAAAAGTCCACCCACCAGGAGGAGTTGAAACCGCATTCCAGGTGACGTCTGGCGCCAAAAGTGGTTCCCAACTGCGCGCCACAAGGAACGTTGCGAATGATTGGCAACATGGACGAACTTTCTAACCGAGAAGGGAACCCTCGCCCGGCGAAGGTTAACGAGTATAACAGTATATCGCGTGAGTGTATGTGTATCAATTATCGCTTAAGATTTCGGACGGATATATATATATATAAAAGGAAAAAACGGCGCGAATAATTTTTGCTCGTTCGCGCTTATTCCTCGTACACGAGAAAGTAAACGTGATTCGTGATGTGGAAAGTTGGAATTATTTCGTTGTTATTATTGGATATATATTTGTCGTTAATTGTTGCGATTGTAAAATTTATACGACGATGATACGATGATCGATGAAACATGTATCGACCTCTATGACCTATTCACGCTTTCATTTTGTTGCGAAAATAGAACTTGTCGATAGGAGTGTCTTCAATCTATACGCATTATGAGCTCGTATATATATATATATATATGAGCAATTTTCCTGCCTATTATCGCACAAGTGCGCACGTATACAGGCGATAACAGCTATAATGATCATTTCGAATACTATCATACTGTACAAAACAATTAGTCTGGATTGCTTTCGTATATTGTCAACAATATAGGGAGGGTTCAGAAGCCAATCAGCGTAAATCATATTTTTTAAAAGCGGCTTGATAGTTGTTTAAAAAAATATCTCTCTTTATCGTTTAAAGATTTTTTTTGAATTGTGCAATTATACTCGTGCATTTGGATTCTTATTTCTTATTTTTTCTTTTTTTATCTTTCGATAAAAATCGATAAGCATCGAAATGTTCTTTCTCGCAATGCCAATTCAAAAAACAAAAGATTCTTCCACGAGTTCACGAGTAATCGGAGATCGTAATTTTTTTTTTTTTTTTTTTTTTGCGAAATAAGAAATAAGCTGAACGCACGAATATGCACGATTGTATACATTTGCCAGCACGCGAGAAATTGTGCGTATATAATAACGTTATCCCCTTAAATTCCAAGATACTAAACTCCGGTTTATGAATCTCGGATAGAAATCCGCTGTCTGGATATGATAAAAATATTAAATGTCTCTCCTCAAAGCGGGATTGAGTTATCAAAAAGTTATCCTCTTTCGCCCGATTTGCATGAAAGTAGAGCGAGGAAAGGAATGAAGAAGGAAAGGGAAAGTAACGAAAAAAAAAAAAAAAAAAAAAAGAAAGAAGACGAGTATAATTAAGAATAGGAGAAAACAAGAGAACGAGAGAAGAAAAAGAAAGAGAGATCAAATGGATGAAAAACACACGCGAGTCCCTTTTCCATCGCGGCCATGTTGACGCGGCGACGTAAGGCGAACGATGCCCCCCTTCCCCTCCCCCTCCTCTCCCCTTAACTCTCGAGCATTCTGATAAATAAAACATAGTCACGAATGAAGCCACTACCGATTGAATTTTATTCTATCGGTTAGCTCGGGTTAACTTCTCGAATGCACGCGGATGTGGCGGATGAATTCTTATTTGGAGGACGTGCTTTAGACAAAGGAAACGTAAGTAAACGTGGAAACGTTCGTGCGTTCATTGTTCATATAGTTCCAAGGACGATCTCTTTCCCCGCGAGATATCCTCTCTTTTCTCTTCCTCGCCAAACGTGAAGAGGAGAATCCTTTGAAAAATGAAAAAATGAAAAACGTACGAATGTTTCTTCGAACGTACGTTTTCTTATTTATTTCGAAATTTCATTGGCGAAAATGAGTAGCTCGAAAAGATATATTTCCCAATCTCTATCGACGGTTAATTTCTCTCAACGTTTCCCAAGGATTCGACGGAGGATCGGTCGGAATAATGATAATTTATCTTCTCGGAAACGACGTGGAAACGACGAGGTCGAGTGGGGAGGGAGGGGGGGCGTGGAAGGGGGAAAGTAGGTGGGCGACCTTTCAACGCCCCCGTAGGACGTTTTTCTTCTCTTCCTTCCTTTTCCTTTTCTTTTTTTTACGGAATAAGAAGAAGTGATAATAATAATGAGAAATGTGACGAGCGGATGTGACAATGGCGCCCCCTCCCGCCCCTGGATAATGACAATGTTTCAGGCTGAACGCGAAAGAATGCCGGTTAGAAGAAGAAGAAGAAGAAGAAGAAGGTCGTTGGCCTTCGTACGACATTCGTGCATTCGTTCGTGTAATTGTTATGCACCAGACATCGGGTGAGGCCGTGTTGAACCGTGTTGAAAAACGCGATACCCAAAGAAAGATTCCGTGAAAGAAGAATTATCATTCATCCTGGAGGGGGGAGGAGGAAGAGGAGGCTTTTCCTCTGAACCACAGGTGCCCGATATATATATATATATATATATAGTCGAGAATTTTTCGATTTCTCGATTTAATCACACGAGCTCGCGCGCGTGTTTCGAAAAACATCGGGGCAAGTTTTTTCACCGGGCGCAATCGCGATGCAAGACACGGCCAATGCTGTAATTTGACGTAAATGGCATGCGCCATATCTTTTGAATACATATATATATCTCGTGGTTCTTCGCCATAATTAAAACCGCTTAAATTGGTTTTAACGGATTGATTTACTGCCTTTACGTCTTACGACGTGCTTTTGAATCTCGTTGCCTTGTGGTAGTGTCGCTTCGATACCATTCCGTTTCCCCGTTGGGAACGTCATTCTCCGCGTTACGTAATAAAACAGCAGATGAAACGAGGGAAGCCGGTAGTTGAAACGATTGTTGACGACAATTCGAATAGGAATAAACAATATTCAACAAGAGATTTAAAAATTCTCACTTTCGATTTCCAGCAACGGGAACGGTTTAGGTATATTATTCCACCTTCCAACGAAATATAGAGTTACCAAGGTACTCTTACTTTCGCCTCTAGACGTCGAACCTTCGCGGACTGACACCCGATTACGTAAAGGTTTGCGCGCGTAAAGAGAGCTCACCTAAGCTCTGGGGAGATCGGTAACAGATAGGTCGTCGGAACGAGACGTTTTTTTCCTTACGAGACGTCGTTCGAGCACGGTCCATAAATTTCCCTCCCCATTTTTTTCCCTACTCTACACCACTTTCATTTCAGATCGGTATTCGGTGTTCCGGTGTTGCGCACGCGCCGTAGAAGAGTAGTTGGAAAACGATCTCGTAACGAACCGTTGGAGGAATTTAAATCTGTTGTGCTCGGTCAACAGGAGCCACGACGAAATTAACTTTGCACGTAACATTGAAATTGGCTATGCTCTTGTTGTTGTTACCTATTATTGCGTTGCCTGAAAATCTGCGATCTCTATGCTGCAATAGTAAATTCGTGGGACGGGATTTGGTGAAAGGTTTTGCATAAAAGATATTTCTAAGATATTTGTTGCTGAATGAAATGATCGAATCTTTTCTAATATCTCTTTTTTAAAGACTTTTCTGGTATTTGTTGAAATTTTTTATCGAATCTTCAATTGACTCTTTATATTCAATTTGAATTTTTATAATTGTTAATTTTACATTTGTATAAAATACGATTTAAACGTGTATTAGGTTTTCCCAAAAGTTCTTTTCACGAGCAAAGAAGTATATTATGATCTGGTTTATTTTTCATTTATTAAGACGTAAATTCTCATTGAGTATCCAAAATTAATCATAGAGAGTTAACGAATTGCAAATTGATTGTCATCTTGAAAAATAATAATAAAACTCTGATCAAAACGCTTTACACGTAAAGTGTTACACGCAAAATTTTATGAAAAATCGTTAAAAAATATTATCGATAACACATAAATATAATCCAGATCCTATTCCACAAAAATCGAAACGAAAGTTTTGCAAAAATAGAAGAGAACTTTCAAACTTAATGGAAAATTGTTTTGAATGGAATTAGAAGAGAAACGAACGTAATCAACTCTCGAATAAATTCTGATCATTCAGCGATCGGTTCGGTCACTGCGGTTGGTAAGCGAGAGGCCATCGTACGAGGTGGAAAACTTCTTTGACGTTTTTCTTGGCACAGCGCTCTTATTATGCTTCATTACTTTGCGAGTTTTGCGATCTATCTTCGTCCAATATTGCGTAATATTATTACCGATATTTCTTTCTTTTCAATTTACATGATTATCCAATGGGAACTGTGGCTGTGAAAGTAAAGCGTAAGCGATCCGGACCTTTTTAGAAAGCCGACACAGCCGATTGTTCCTGAGAGTAGTAAATATATCGATGCACAGCCAAAAATTGCGCAGCTACCTATTGTTAGGCGGAAACAAAGCGTAGGTAACTTCTGTCTGCCTGTGCGAGTCGCCTTCCGTTCGCTAGCGATGGGATCGAGTTTGTCACGGGTTCGAACAAAACAAAAAGATCGAAGAATCCCTTTATGGATATATATCACAAAGGAGACATTTTTATGCATCGTATAAAAAAATATATATCGAAGATTAAGATAACAATTTTACTCATGCAATACGAATTCTATGAGATTCTGATATTTCTGATATTTCACAAATATCAACGTAAACTATTACTTCTCACTATAAATATTCTCATGAAATATATATTTTTCCCGGCTTTTATTTCGGCATTGTTACTTACAAAAATTTAAAGTTTGTTCTTTAAATAAATCTTTAAATTTCAATTTTATTAGAATCTATTAATCGAATTACATTTATAAACTTATTCTCAAACAAATAACTCTTCTGCATCAAACTTGACTTGTTTTTTTTTTTTGTTTGTTTGTTTACAGTTTATCGATCCCATCACTACCGTCCACTGTTACGCGAAAGGATTCTGCGCCCGAGTCGGTGCACGAGGCGGGCAGCATTGTGACGACCCAGTAGTAGGAAAACACGCGGAACAACTCGCATTCTTTCGTAGCTAGACGGGATCGCGCGTCGCAATAAGGCGGACGGTGAGAGGGAAAGAAAAAGGGGGACGTTTGGTATAGTTGCACAGTCGAACGTTGCACCCGATGCAAAGAGTTGTTGCTTGCACGTTACAAATCGCACGCGAACGTTACCAATCGGCTTTGAACGAGCCGTGGCAAATCGGAACGACCTCCGATAAATCCGGCTTGGATCGCCATCGAAACAATCGTTGCGAACACTTTATTCCTCGAACAAAAGATCGGCAAAAGTTCATTTCGCGACAATGGTTTCGCGATGCATCAACGATAAGAAAAATTGAATAACCTAAATCTAAGTAGAGGATCGGAATCGAGACACTCTTTTTTTTTTTTTCCACGAGATTTCGTTCTTGGAGAATTTAATCGTCGTTAATTAAAGGTATACGTATAACTTTATTGGCCTCGTTTTTTAATACGTTTTTCTTTTTTTCTTTTTGCAGATATCGGCAAAGAGGGATCGAAGGAGCGAATTCGTTGTTTTTCGTTTCTGAAAGATTCTAAAATTCGATAGGGAAATCGTTTGCTCATAGCGTTTTTTTATTTGACTCGGGCGATTTAAAATTATTGAAATTCAGAAATGATGTTTACAACTTTGATTGATATTGACACAAGGGTTAAACGATTAGAATTTCCACGTATCGATTTGCACTATTATCTATACTAAACTATGCAGACTATTATTTATGTAATAATGCATACTCGGTATTTAACCTCGTTCGACGCAGATGAACCGTGTTGCGACATATGCTTTATGTTTGACGATCGAAGCGATTCAAAGAATAGTGGCCAATATGGCCACATGGTGTATGCTGGTTTATCTCGGTATCGGCCAATTAATTCGCATGAATCGGATCACGGGTAAAAGATGTTGATCGTTCTCGATCCAAGTCTCGCAGTCTAGTTCGTTAATTGATCTTTAAACAACACGTAACGTTGCAACGATCCATCCATCGAAAAATAATTGACACGCATGACACATCTTTCGAATATTCTCGTCCCGCGAGATAAAGATTAGAACTAACTAACTCTCGACCAATGAACACGAGAGAGATGAATATATATCGAATTAAAATTTAAATACATCCAGACATTTTTGATATCGTTTTTTAAAAATTATTTTCTTCGTTAGAAACTTGGACTCAAACTTATCGTTATCAACGATAAAATAAAATATAAATATGTTGTTATCGTGATTTGTTATTTATAACGTGATCTATCTATTTAATCATTACAGTGGCGGATTAATTTTCAATCTACTGTGAATTGAAAATTATAAATATTAACAATAATGCTTCTATTCTTTTTCTAATCATTTAGAAATGTAAAATAAAATTTTACGATGCCTCATTTTGCTTATTGTATTATTAATCCAGCACTGTTGTTGACAAATAAACGCACGTTTTAACTGGTTCTGAAGTTTCACAGAGACCTTGTTGCTTCCGAGTTTTACATTAATCATGCGCGCGCGCGTGTGTGTCTATGTGTCGGTGAAAGCGAAGGCGAGTGTAATCAATGTTATATTAAGGGAATATTATACTCTACGAGGAGTAAAAAAAAAATTCATTCCGCTAATTCTGTGATACAACGCGTCCCATTATACGGTTTTTTTTCTTTTTTTTTTTTNTTTTTTTTTTTTTTTTTTTTACACTCGTAATCCAAGGCTTCAAACGAGTGACTTATCGCAAACAATTCAGGTCCACGGAACGAAAGCTCGTGTTACAGTATAAACCGTTCGTTCCCGTTCCTTCATTAGACATGATTTATTTCAAGACTAGGGTCCTCTTCCTCTTCCTGGTAGAAACAACCTACTCGACCAGCCAAGTTCTTTGTTCCTTACGTATCTTTCTCACTCCGTGGAGCGAGACATTTTTCTAAATGTAAATAATTTTGATGTTAAGTTTTAAATTTTCTTGTTTGAGGATAAAATTTTCGTGAGTACCAGCCAAGTTCTTTGTATCTTTCTCACTCCGTGGATATTTTTCTAAATTTAGTTAAGTTTCAAGTTTTCTTGTTTGAGGATAAAATTTTCGTGAGTATTTTATTGAAAAATTGAATATTGCGCTCAATTTTCTCTGCAATGGCGGATCGTGTAACACTACCAACCAGCAGTCCCCCCTCTTTTTCCTTCAAAAAAAAAAAAAATGAAAAATTCAAATATTCCGAGTTTAAGAATTGTTCAAAAATTAATATTGATGAGTGTTATCATATATTGCAAATATAATATAATACTTGAGAATTAATGAATTTAGATTATTCAGTAGTGGAATAATTAAACGCTGTAGGTTAGATTGGGTTAGATTAGGTTATCTCTGTCGCGCGAAACAAGGCGACACTCGGCTTTCCGAGTTGCAATTGATGCTTGGTTTCGTTTATCTACAATGATACGTGGTTGCAGCCAACAGAATGCGTAATATTTCCAACGACCGCCATTCCTCCAATATCATTCTCGAGAATTTCTTGAATAAATCTCTCAAAATTCGTTTAATTTCTCCTTTTTTTTTTTTTTTTTTTCTCCCAAATCCAAAACACGATATCTCAAATATTTGCAATACAAGTTTCTACTATTCTTAAAATTCATTTTACTCTCATTTTCTTTCCAACCACTTTACGAGGAGATTGCAGAAAGAATATTAAAGAGAATAGATAGTAATTCTCTCTGGTAATAAAATAAACTGCTTTATACGATTCATTTCGTTCGTTCTTTCAGCTATGACTGTGACAAATGACCTGTCCCATGGGAATCTATCCTTTGCATACCGGAACGAGTATTTTATTCCCATTATTATATTTTATTCCCAAGGACATCGTGCGCCGTTTTAGTCGAGTTTACACGATTTTCGCCGCGCTTCCTGCATTTCTGAACCGTCACGCGAATATATCGATCGATCCTAGAAATAAGACACATCTGAAAATCGTCAAACAATTATTACAGATCTTTGAATTAAACTGTTTGCTCCAAGTTTGATTTCTGTCGCGATCCACAATGACAAAATATTCGACGAAATATAACAGAAGAATGTAGATAAGTTTCTCGTTGTCAGCGTTTCAATTTAATAATTCGATATTTTTTATATTTATAATATTCATACCCTCAACGGTAATTACGGGGTAATCCGTTATTATCTCGTTCGTGGGAATCGCAATCTCGTGGATAATCAATCTTCGAGCCGAAGAATTAGACGATCTGATGTTCTGCATTGCGAAAATTAAAAATTGATAAGCTTAATTGGAAAAAGAAAATAAAATAAACGATAAAAACAAATAATTAAATAAAGTGTCGGAATAATTATAATCTATGATCTTATGACGTTTTTGATAAAAAATATTGACACGAGATTAATGGCAAATAGATTTCAAAATATTTAATCAAAAGTCATAAAGTTTATTAAATATTATCCAACTGAAAAAGAGTTTTTCTTAAAAAAGAATCAGGACAGAAACTGATTTTAGGAATAAGAAAAAACGTGTGAAGATAAAAATAAAATTCAATTCAGTTTAATTCCTTAATCAGATATATCTGCTATATCGATAACAATTCAATCTAGCAGTTAATATTATCTTCTTACATTTAAAGTATATTAAATAATCGACTCGATAAACGAATGATTATTGGCGACAAGTTTTCCTCGTTCAAGAGATTAATTTCAAAAAATGACAATCCTTTCCATTGTATTATAAATATATATATATATATATATATATATATATATATATATATAAAGAGAAATTCGGATGTAAAGGGAGCAAAGGATCAAGCGGCGTGCATCTCGAAGAGACGGAAGCAGGCGGAAGAGAGTAACGGGGGACTTTGTCACGTCGTCACGAGTTCGACTTTCGAACAGATCCGCGAAATGGCTAAAGGTGATACGATCCGCGACCTCTGTAGGTCGAATGCGATATCACTTTCGCTCGCAAAGAGGCAAATTCCGTATCGGCGACCTATGAACCCGCCTTTCCCTTCTGCCACCATGTGACAACAACACCGTGTTGATGATAAATATTCAATTCGCATTCGTGACAGGGAGGGGGGAGAGCTCTCTTTTGTTTCGCGAACGAGCCGCAGTCTTTTCTAATTAATTAATTGTTCGTCGGTTGGTTCACGGGGCCACCGCAGGTCGGAGCGGCTTCCACTTCCTATTTTCCAACCGCGATTTCCCACGCGAGAAATTTTTCTCTCGAAGCTACCGAGCTGCAACGACTTTACTTTTTCCTTTTTTTCCTTTTTTGCCGGCCATTCACCCAATCCCAACAAACTGGGAATGGAATAAAAAGGAGGAGGAGGGGGGGGGGGGGAAAAGATATTCGAGAAATAATTTATAATTATGTTATTAACGACTCGACGTTTATCTCTAAACCCTCCTCTCAAACTCAAAGTTATCACGCGATATATATATATACTTTGTTTCTAGACTGCTTGGCATCGGTTCAACCGGCGAATAAAAAATATTTTTACGACCTCACGGCCCGATTACGACTCAATTATTATACGACGCGTAATTACGGGTAAACACGAATCGATATCGTGCAATAATTGGATGAAATAAACATATCTGTCCGATAAATGATAATAAAATGATAATATCGTCATGGTCAAAGTCCGAGTGAATTTTATATTTCACAAACGCTTTGGGCTCAAAGTACAGGTGTACGTGATAAACAGCGAATAAAACTGTTGATAAAAACACAGTTGATATAAAAACACGTATCGTCGATTGTACAGGCGCACGCTTTAACGGTTTCGAAACCGGCGAGACTCGAGAATTTTTTCCCTAATCAGGTCCTAAATTAACACCTGATAAATGATAATATATTCCAGGTGCAGGTGCGTGAAGAGAAGGAATGAAAATAGGTTTACACGCGAACCGATTTCACACATGTCGGGGCACGTGCAGCTGGGCGCAGACCGTGCGCATTTCTCCCTGGCATAACTCTCGATCGCGTGGGCAATGCCTTATAGGTATTGTGATCACCGATTGCAAAAGATCGGCGACCTCTTTTCAGATACAGACCGGCTCGGGATCCTGTTCGATGGTTAACGATTTGCTAACCAACGATAAAGATCTATCGTAGCGAGCAGTCAACGAATTGACACAACAACGAGTATTCTTTTTTTTCTCGCAAATCGCACAACTTTCACGAAAGGTTTTTCCAGAACAAGTATTCTGAACGAGATAAGATATATTTTTACTACAATTTAATAATCTTTTTATAAATTGTTTTTCACAATTCTTTCTATTCGCGCGAGGATGAATACTTTCTCGTGGCGGCTCAAGGAAGAGAACTCGAAGGCGGTTGGAAAGGGAGAAAGGGACGGAGAAAGAGGATGGTGGCTGCGAGCGAGGTAAAAGAAGAAAGGGGGGAGGGGACCGAGAGAGAGCCGCGTGACAGGCTCCGAAGAAGAGTTAAAAAAGAAATAGAGTGACGAGCACGTGGAGGAGGGAAAAAGGGAAGGACATTAGAGTCGACCTTGAAAAGAACCTTGCAAGGCCGTTACGCCCTGGACCGTCTCGAGCCGCTGCTTTCATAGGCCGGATCTCGTTTGAGATACGATACGGAGAAAGTCGATGAAATCGGTATTTTTTTCATTCGTCTATTTTTATCAAAATCAATCTACGAGGAAAGACAATTTAATCGAAATTATTAATCTTCTATGGAGAGTATATGTGAATTAAAATCGAAACATCGATGATAATGACAGAGATAATGCATCTATTTTCTTGTTCTCGATTTAGTTGTTATATTATTATTTTCCTCGTGGAAATCGTTAGTATTCGATTATTAATTTTTTTTTTTAATTAAAAACATATGTGTCATATAAATATAAAATATAATAACATAGGTTACGATTTATCTTTGTTAGAAATAGAAAAAAAGATGAAAAAACGTGATAAGGATAAGGCTGAATAATACAATTCACGTAATCGAGACGAGATATCTTATCTATAGATTTCCTTATCAGTTATTATCGTTAAAAAGGTCGATTAACGTCCTAGAGAAAGTTTTTAACGCGAGCAGAGTCACTTTTTAATACGAATTTAATTCAAAGCAATGTAATCAATGCATATAGGAGTTAATGAATAATTGCGTTTCATCAAACACGATTCAATTTGGTAGCGATAAAACGAAGAACG